ATGTTGTTAACAACTGATGGGACCTGAACCCAAGTCACGGTGGCCACAGGTGCAGGATGCATTAACGTGGCAAGGTTTTATGATAAATGCTAGGAGGATCAGACCCCAGGTCCCACCTGCTGTCCGCCTTGAGTAGAAACACCCCCTTTTCGGTTGAAAAGAACTGTGGGAGTGTTCATTTTCCTGGTAGCGATGCAACCATAATGCATGCATTTCATACCGGTAGTTGTTTGTGAACCAACAAAGTGCAGTTCCCTCAAAAGGTGCCTCTGTCGCTGGGAAAATAGCGCCCTCTCTTGGTCCAGCTCAGGGCTCATAGACTATTGTGCACAGACATGGGATAAACTGGTACCACCACACTAAATGGGGAGGCCACAACCTACATTGTATCAGCTGATCCAGGTACGATCTAAAGCCGGGTAAGAGCCAGTGTGAACATGGGATGTACCTTTTTTGCAAGTCGGGATGGCCAAAGCCAACGACCCCCTTCAAACCTTGGATTCCAAACCCAATCCACTGTTATGTCAACCCAGGAAGGCTCATACAACTTGATCTATCAACCTTACAAACTCATGTAGAGCTTTACTAGTAACTGGTATACAAATGAAATGGCCCAAATTATTACACCCCCAACAAGCCCCCTCCCCCTAGCTAGCTTCTGAGCACAAGGTCCACAGAAACCAATTCTAATTTGGCTGGGGGGGTCTTCAGCAGTTTGTCACTACTGACCCCCCCCTTTCCCCTCTAGGACAATTGGGCGATCTAGGGGATCAAGAATGCTTCCGTGAAACCCCCTTGGGCTATTGGTCACTGAAGGATGGGGGATTAGACGCACAGAGCCCTCGGGCAGTAACACCAACACGCACATGCCATATGTCAAGAGATAGTTGTGCATGGACTTCATATTAACCCAGATGGAAAAACCGGACTTGGAAAACAAAATAGCCAAATGTTGACAGAGATGACGACAGAGGCAGGAGACAAAAAACCAAATTGAAATGTCGTTGAAATTCCTCATTTACACCGGAGACAAACTGACATAACCTCAATCAACGAGTGAATACAGGCTGTGTGATTCTGGTGTGGTGGTAAATCCTCAAGTATTTTAGGTTTGGATACACGAAGCTCCAAATTCCTGTGCTAACATTTTAATAGCACCATGTGGACAAAACAACTTGATATCTTCATGGCAAGGGTAGGGGATCTGGTGTTATCCTCTTGATGAATCCACAATGGTGAGACTAGAGGAACTAATCACCAGAGTTTTTAGAAGGCCAACTGCAACAAATAGGTCTATGGTGTATATTTGAATTTGACCATAAGCCAACCCTTAAACTATCCATTTCTTGTGTTCTATATCAAGTTTTATATGTAAATGGTAAACTCACAATAATATTCAACTTATTAAGACATAGTTCCAAAATCCTGAAATGAGGAAAAATTCTGACAAATCTCAACTCTGATCAAGAGAGAAGCTGATGAAAGAGTTGTCAGCACTGGCAAGTTTTGAGAAATTAGGTAATTCTTAGATAGGAACTTTGGAAGAAAATCTTCAACAGTCAAGTAGACGATGAACATACATCTGTTTAAGGACAAGAGCCAACCCACAAACCAGCCCCACCTGTTCACAGTTAATGACTTCACAATTTTCTCTGACAACTTTGTTGTTCAAGTTTAAAGATGTCCATACTTACTGGTTTACTGAGCGCCTTGGCTACCGCTTTGCTGTCCCCCTTGGCTGATGCTGCGCCATTCATCTGACCCTGTGATGACAAAGACAAGCTCTCAAGATTAATTCCAAATTTTTCCCAATATTGGGATGAGCGTCACCGGGACTGCGTGTGCTGTGGTTTTTTTGTGTGCGTGACTCGATTGGACTGGGGTGCATTTTGGTGTTTCTCACCACAAACAGGGTCGACTGTAGAGGCCTATATTTTGTGAATTGTTTTGGGGAATTTGAGTGCTTGGCCACTAATGACTCAGCTCAGTACAGCACAAAATGCAAGGTCATTCGGGAAAAAAGCAGACTGTGTGAGTCTCTGCATAGGGCCATGCTGATAGGGCAGACCTCAGATGCACATCCCAATAACCTCAGACATGCTTCATTCTGGCATGCATTGTTGGAATACCCTACTGGCTCATTCTTGCCAAATTCAAATAGATGAACAAAAATCACCAAGAAACAACCAAACTAATTCCTGGAAAAAGACTGCAAAAATCATCAGCACAGAATGACACCTTACACATATGTCAAACAAATGACATCGATTGATCAACCATCTTGGAGGCAAAGCCAGAACAGGTATGACACGCTCATTTCTATCTAAATGGTAGCAGTGGCTACTCAATAAAGGCATGCTACTGGCATTGTGTGAAGTCATAGCCAGGAAGCACGCAGTCCATAGCCTTACATGAGAGAGTTGTAATACATTATTATATAACAATTTATCCATTTGAATAGTGGCTTTAATGCAAAAAACAAGATAAAACAAGAGTACTGTGGCCAACTTCAAAATAGATTAAGTATTGAGCTTTGAAAATCTCGAACACCCTGAAACTGGATGTTAAGGTACAACACATCACAGAGTACTAATACGTGTTTTGACAAACAATCATCATCACCATTGTTAAAACACAATGCAAATCAAAGCCACATGATGAAACAATTTGTGGAAAAACACTTCCCCTCTCCCTTCTGAAAAAAAAAACAAGACAAAACCAAACCCAAAAAAACCCCCAGATCTTGGCATGACAGAGGTTTATGACCAGAGGGAGGAATGGAATCTGTGGTTCTGCTCTTCATTGGAAATGAAGTGCCTCGTGCCTGGAGCAGTCAAGAGCACTGCATTTTTGAGGTGGCCCCATGTACAGTACTGTACAATGTATTTTCTGGTATTAATAACTACCCAGATGTAGTACTATTTGTTCCACATGGCTGGCTCTGGCTGGCAATGCAGAAGCTGATTTATAAGTGGGATTTTTTTCTCTCATTTCTTTTTTTTTGGGGGGGGGGGGAAGCTACTATGCCAGCCAGCCCAGCTCAGCTCAGCTCAGGACGTGCTGGGGTGTTTTCTTTGCACTTTGAAGTCACCGGGAAACACCAAATGAGGAAACTAAACACAGTATCAATCATCGTGGACATGTGTAGAGAGAGTCAGAGGTAGCCCAAACTAACAAACACTTCACAAGGGAAAGGGACGGGGGTAGCGTGGATGGGAGAGGGGAATCGTTTCAAGGGACTAGCTTATACCGGTAAGTCGTGCTACAGGTTTGAAAATTGAAGTATTACGCTGACTGGTATGCGATAATCACACAACAACAAAAGTTGGCCCTTTACCATGGTAATGTTGCCTACTCAGTGTTTCTAGAGAACTAGCGAGGAAGAACTTCCAAGCTTACTCACATAGAACTCTAAATCCACAACCTGCAGCTTGCTGGTACAGATGTCTTACCTCGTCGCTGTGCAGGTGTGCCAATGCATGATGTAAGGTACAGTGTACGTGTCACGCAAGACACTCCTACATGCACATGTAAATGGCGCTTGATTGGAACCAAGGCTTCCATGAATTATAAGACAATGGTGGGAGAAGGGATGGGGGTGGTCTCAGACTGCCCCTACTCTTCTAGTATTTTTGGAGCAACATCACCACCTCCCATTCATCTGTGTACAAGTGTGTTCCTATGAGATGTACTGGCCACCCAAGTCAACTTCCCAGCTTGCTGGAATAATTTGTATTTTTTTTGTAATGAACACTGCCTAAAAGCAATATTCGGTCAAAGCAAGACAACAGATTAGAAGAAAGTTGTAACACAAATGTCACTCCTCCTCCAAAACACACACCAAACCCCACATTCTTGGCATAAGAAACACAGTCTTGAGAGAGTAGCCTCCAAAATGGGCGTGGTATCGTGGGCATGGAAAGATGAAAAGAAGGAAACTCGCCCTCTAGAGGTGCAAGTGCACTATCAAAATGGGCTAATGGGTTTATGTGTTCGAGGGTGCATGTACTTTCTACATGCGTCCAAAGTCCCCTTAACATAACTGCCATTTTTATCAGTGAGCACTTCAGCGTGAAGAACTCTTGGTTAAGAGCTTCCATTACAGAGACATTAATTTTTGGATGTCTTTATCACAGTGGACCATCTCAAAAATAACTGTCATGCTCATACAGTGTCACAGTCGGAGGATGTGAATCATTGAAAACTGCTGAAGATGAACAGAGTGTGGCTGCAGAGCGTAAGAGACGAGACAGATGTCTTTTACCTGTTGAAAAATTGAATTGACATATAAATGTAGCAAAGGGTTGAGGTGGCTACACTTGTAAATGAGAAGGAGCAGGTTCAGACTCTGCTAAGTACCCAGAGCACAGACCTCAGTGAGCACAGCGGCAGGTGAAGAACCGGCATCGTGATATTAATATTAACACTACTAATGTAATGTCTAAGCATGCTTTGATGTGAACACATGTTAGCCTGACTCCTAGTAAACCTCTGCTCCTTGGCGCTCATTCTCTCCTGGGTGCACAGAAGCACAATGGTTAGCAACTGCAGTGATGGATCCCACTCAGGGACTTACCGGTAACCAATCCCTTGGCCATGCTCAAACCCATATTTGAAAGCCTTTTCTGATACTATGCATACATGTATTGTAAGCCTGACGTTGAAACCAACGTTTAACAAAAGCGTTGCAGCTGTTACTATCACAGCAACAGCCCCCCCCCAAAAAAAAACCACCTCCCTGAGTGATCTAAGGAGCTGAATTTGACAAGCAGATTAAGAACGGGCATCCTGATACTGTCAGATCTCATTATGGGCGGCAACCCCAGGCACAAAGCATTCCTGCATGTACATGCAACAAGTATTTCACATCACGCCCTGCACCAAGTTGGGGCAGTCCGGAAAGTGAAGGCTCAGAGTGAAGAATGAAGGAAGGACACACACAGGAGGGTGGAAGGTGGACTCTCTGATAAAAAGTGGACATGGGGGAGGGGCAGATGGGAAGGCACACTCTCGAAGACAAAGCAGAAACATCATACATGCATTTCTTGCGTAGTGGGGTAGGGAGTACACTTCCTCAGGACTTTCCTTTGACAGTTCTAAGACTAAAGGATAAAAGAGCTGACAACCTGCACCGAAGAATGGATTGAGAGGCTTGGCTAGAGAGGGGTCTGTGAGGCTGGAATGGAGCCAAGAAGAAATGTCATTAATATGGCTCCCTCCCAAAATTTGTTGACACATATACATTGTAATAGTGAACTGGGAACTTCAAAATGGCAAGGACAACACATATGGTAAGCCAAATTTCTGCTAATGTTGGACTATACGCTTGCCACTTAAAAAATGAGTTACATGTTCATGTGCATGTATCATGCATAATCAGATACACACTAGTACAGGTGTCAATTGATGTGTGATGTGCATGTACTCTAGATCTAAAGAGCGGCTATCATGAAGGCTAACCTTGTCTGGTCATTCTGGGAATTAAATTCGCTCATATACACTGTACACTGAACTGCTGGAGTGAGATTGGCCAATGATAAAAATAGCTGAAAACATAAAAAAAAAAGGCATCAAGAAGCTGAACTGTGAACATCTCCCATACTTTTGTACACAGTTAGTGAGGAAAAAAAGCTGAAATCCAAAACAAAAAAAAGCTGAAATCAGCTAAATAACTGAGAAATCTCAACCTTGGAATTGCTAATCGCAATAAGTAATCACAAAATTCACTAAACTACCAGGAACAAAACCAAACTAGTGCAGCATTGCAGAAATTCTCCAGTCTAACAGAGAAAGGTACTGTAGTTATGCATGTTCATTAAGATCTATTGATCTTGAGTTTTCCGTGGACGGTAGTATCTCAGTGTTTTTTCCTCTATCCGACGACAAACAGCCTGAGTCAAGACACCCCTGGCATCAGAGCCCAAGGAGTAATGGATAGGATATGCGGAAGAGAATGGTGAATGGTTAACTTTAGGAGTAATGACTAGACCAACATGCTTCATCAATATACCGTAGGAACGACCTGAAAAGAGAGTAAAGGGGAGGGGGGAGAATGCCAGCCTCTACATCGCCAAAACGGTCATTGACATAGTGTGCGGTGGTGACAATGCTTAACCCATTTAAGAGTAACAAATGCTCAGCAGGATATAATACGCATAGAAATCCACAACCGCACAATGGCAAAGTTCAAAAGCTTGCCTTTATTTATTGGCTCTCTCGGCCTATAATCTCACCAACTTCCATCCGGCAGTGAAACAAAAAAAACATTTCCCCCACTACTTTCCGGCTGGATGGGTCCCTTGAGTTGGTGACGAGGGAGAGGGGGAGAGAGGTAGTGGGGAGATGGCAGGGCAAGGCAGTTCCCCTGCTTGCGCTCAATTGGGGCAAACGAGGGCGGGAACAGAAGTGCAACAAATAGTGCAGTCAGTGTGGCAACCGATCTGTCAGCTGGCACCGTACCATGACTGATTAATAAGTCTAGTTTTTAGCACCTAAGCCTTGCCATAAAAGGAAAAAAATCTTGCGCTTCACCACTCATGTGTAAAAGACACCTCTTCTGTCGTGGCCTGTCAAGAAATTTTATGAGTGGGCATCAGTGATGAATTGTCGAAACTTCAGTTAAAAACTGTAACACATTGAAAGAAATAAAAAAAATAGCCACCAATCACAAGGTGATCACCAAGTGACATATGAAGTATTTTGTAACTGCAAGGATTCATATGAAAACAGACAATTTTATTTCAAGAAGACTTTTATTTCAAGA